AGGATGACTAGATCACATGGAACAGATGGGAAAGAGCCACATATTCGCAGGTGGTGGTCCAGCCCAGCGTGGGACAGAAAACTGAGAGATCATGGCAAATGCACGTTGGCTCTGGGGACACCTAAGCTTCCCGAAGACCTAGCAATGCTTTCCGTTTCACTTACAGGTCCCCACCTCCTTCCCTTCTCAGCAACCTCCTTCACTGGGTGGTGGGGAGAAGCACTCGGAGGGTCCCTAATTTGCTATCATCTCGCAGCGCTGAAGGCCTCAGCCTCTGATCCTAACTGGAACCTCCTTCTAGCCTCCCCCGCCCCAATCTCCACTACGGGGAGGTCCTCGACAGTCTATCTCAGATTTCTTAGGGAGAATATATCCTGGGGTTTTTCAGGGTGACTATTTACCCTATCTTCCCCCCAGAGGTTTCCATGTCCAACCGTGGAGGCAAGATCTTTAACCCCTCTCTTTCCCACCTTGCCCCACAATCGCTTGAGCCGCTCAAGGTGATGGATATTCCCTCTGCAATCCTTCCTACCCTGCCCCCACCTTTGCTCCATGTGTCTGTCCTCTAAGAAAAGCAGCACCTATATGTGAAATCCCATCAAAGCAAAGGACCCAGGCTAGCACACGTCAGCAGATGCTGGAATGCACCAGGTCTGAATCCAAAGACACAGATGCAGGGGCAGCTAAAGGTGGAGCTAGTAAAACTGAACCCTTGGGAAGCCATGAAAAGCCCCAGGATTCCCAACTTCCCCTTGATGAACAAGAAGACCCAGCCATACCCCAGGTCTGCCACTTGCTCCTGGTGAGACTCGAGGGCCCAGCAGCCCGTGCGTCCCTCAGGGGCCCTGGCATTCTCTGAGTGCTTCCCACTCACATACTCCCAGCTGCCTTTCCAGATCCCACCCACTGGGCCACTAAGTGGTGTGCACCCACTCCCTCCCTGGCTATGTGAGCTCATCCTTCAATGGAGCGGGGTGGGGGTATGTGAGTGATGGCTGCCAAAGCTCCAGAGAGGGGCAAGACTGGAAGGGGGTTCAAGAAGGACGGCCACAAAAAGTCCCCTGAGCCCCGGGTGGGGGATGGCAGCAAGCACCCATGGGGGTGGGGAACAGTGCTGGAGGGTGAGATCGGGGTGGGGGGCAGTAGAGGCCCCAGCCTGGACCAACTGAGCACCTCTGGGTTCCTGTGTGAGATTATGAGAGCTTTCCGCAAGCCTGCCTCCACCTTGCCTCAGCCTCTGATGAACTGCACAGCAGCCCGCTTCAAATACACCAGTTGCACCGCTGGAACCAGCGCGTGGTGCCTGGCAGGACACAGCACTCCACCTGGAGGGCACACTCCTCTCTCCTGTCCTGGGAGGGGTGTTTTGTTGGGAGTGTGGAGATGTATTCCGTGTGTGAGTACACATTGAGGGGGTGTATCTGTGCTGCTTCTTGTACCCCCATAGTATCTGGGTACCTGTACTTGGTCAGGTGTATGCCTTGTCTTATCTATGCTATTTTGTGGGTGTCACATCTGTATCACGTCAGGGGGTGCAGTCCTGTTTATAGCAAGTGTATGGATACAGTGTCTGTACTGCACTGTGTATGTGCTGTACATCTGCCCTGCATGGTCCATGCCTTCGATGTGTGTGACATGTATCTAATCCTTACTCCATATCACATGGCTCTGCCATATTCTGTGTCTGTGTCCTGTTGCGTGTTTATACTGTCCTGTGTCTGCACCTGGGGCTTAGCCTCTTCCTGGAAGCTGGGGGTAGGGTTCACTGTATCCATTTTCTGCCTACCAGCACCCTAGCTTTGCTGCATTCTGGCTTCCTACCAGTACCTCTGTCTGGGGACTAGGTGGCCACTTTGTTGTTGGGGGGGGTGTGGACGTGGGTGGGGGGGAAGCTGTGGCCAACCATTCTCTCTACTACAGGATCTTCCCATGCCAGGTGCCCAGCCCAGCACTAAAGACAGCAGGGAAAGGAGTTCTGGAACCTTTTTCAGGCCCAAAGGAGGAAACTAAGCGCTAGGGAGATGGCACTCTTGCTCAACCCCCAGTCCCTTCCATATAGAAGAAGGGCCTGCAGGGAGTTGCAGCTGCCTCAGTTTCTCCTTCAGGCCACCTGGAAGCACTGGAGACCTTCTCCACAGGGAGTTAACAGCTGCACAAGGGATTAGCACTGGCAAAGGGAGCTGGGCCATGGGATGCAGCCATGCAGGAGTTCTGCAAAGGTGTCCCCGCTGTGGTCACTAGAGGGCGCAATTGTGCCGGCAGTTAGGGGTAGCGTCTTGAGGGTGCAGAATTCCAGAAAGTCCACCTGGCTCAGACAGAGATGAGGGAGAAAGGAGAGGGATAGACACCCTAAGCAGGCCTTCCTTCACCCTCATCCCAGGCCCTTCAGTTCTGAGGCTGAGTTAGGGAGTTGGCGCCACGACTGCCTATCAGCCTCCACCCAACTGCGTAAGATTTGTATAAAATCCCCACAGAGCTTCTCAGGAGCTTGGTTTTAGGGTCTCTAGCAGATTCTCCACTTGGGCTTCTCTTCTCCCTCCTGTTTCCCATTCACATGAAATAAAAATAAAACAATGCTGCTCAAAGAGATGAAATGTATGTAGTGGCTGGGGGTTTGTTTTGTACTGTTTTCCCCCAAATCGGAGGGCATACCAAAAAGTATGATTTAAAAGGGTAAATTGGGGGGGGCGGGGGATGTTGTCCTATGGTAGATCTGCTTCACGACCAAGAACAAATGGACCCACTTCCTAAAATGTCATGACCATCTCAGAAACCACCTCATTCAATCCCATCATTCAAAAGACAAGGAGACTAAGGCTCGGAGAGGGGCAGAAGCAGACCACAACACCCCAGTCCTGGCTTCCAGGGTTGGTTCCACCCCAGCTCCGTGTCCTCTAGTCTCTAAAACACCTTCCTTCTCCAAATCCAGCATCTTCCCAGCTCAGGGCAAAACCCTGTCCTCCCTCCCTGCTGTGTGGGCTCCAAGATGGTCCTATTCTTATTCTGTCTCAGTGATCTCCCGCCCAGGCTCTGCTGTGACCACACCTTAGGAATGGTCCCCATTCCCCACCAGTGAATTGTTCCTCTCTTTCCAGTCTTCCAGGTCCACCTCCCCCATTTTGCTTCCCACCCGCAGACCCAGCGGATAGCTATGCCATTTTGCCCTCACCACGTCCCATGGGTATAGCACAGATTGCCCCAACCTGCAGATAATTGACCGAATGTGCAAATCAGACATGGATCCATTGTACTCATTAACATTTCCAATTAAACTCTGGGTGAGGCTGTGTGTATTAGTGTCCAGGGTAATCATTGAGCTGTATGTAAATGCAAATGCCTTCCAAGGTCCTGGGGCACAGGAGGAAGTGACACATTTCAGGAGGGAATGGAAATAGACCACCAGACTCCAGGGGTTCCTTTGGTTCTCTGGTACCCCTCAATCAGATTTTAAACGTATGGCTATTACTTGATCCCAAGGTTCCAGTTTCACCCTGGAAATGAAGGACTCTGGCCCTGCCCGCTGCTGCACGTCCTTTCCTGCCCCCTGCTGGAGAAGCTGCAGAGTGCGGAGTTGGCAGGGAAGTCCACCCCAAGGCCTTGCAGAGGGAACCGCCTAGCCTCTGGCAGGTGGGGAGCTTGGGGGACAACAGGGAGCCCCAGAAGCCTCAACAGTGGCACTTACCTTCTAGGACAGGAGTTTTCACCATTCCTCGCCTACACAGAGTCCCATGGGCCCCGGGGAAGAAGGGCATTTTTGGAGCTCGGGCAGACACCCGTGCCTGCAGCAGGGATCCCAGACCCGGCCCTGGCCCTCCCGTTGTAAAAAACAGTCAACCTACCTATCTTGGGGGGATATGAAGCTCCCCCTGCAATCCCCTTTGGGAGCCTGCCCCCTGCTCTTCCTTCTCCTTACCCAGGAGGAAAGAGCCATTGTGGAGTCTGCTGTTCATGGAGTTTCTTCTCCTTCCTATGACCAAAGCTACTAGCTCCTAAAGGCAGGTTACATGGATGGAAATGCTATTGAGTCCCTAAATATCAAGAAATTGTCCCCCTAAGTCTGGGCTGAGCCACACGTGCCTGGACAACCACCATTTCTCCATCTCACCAGGAAAATCGGGGCCTTAGGGCTCCTGGTTAAGACCATCGCTTTCTTATGGACATTGGGGAGGGTATGTGCTATGGTGAGTGCTGTGAAGTATGTAAACCTGGCGATTCACAGACCTGTACCCCTGGGGATAAAAATACATTATATGTTTATAAAAAAAAAAAAAGACCATCGCTTTCTTCTTGTTCTATCTCTATGGCTTTGTTCCTACCTGCTCCATCTGAGCTTACCTGCATCTAGACTTCTAGCCCTGATTTCTTTTGCCTTGGCCACCCTCTTTGACCTCACAGTAGCTTCGTCTCTGACCTCACAATTGCAGAGTCTCTGATGGGGGCGGCACCCCTCATCTCCCCCCCTCAGTTATTCCTCATTTTTTTTGCTTTTCACGTCTACCACCTTCTCCCCCAAAGACCTCAGCATGCTTGTTTGCTTAGTATGCCAGTTCGGCCTCTAACCAGACAACCTGTAACCTGCAGCAATGGTCGGAGCCTTTGGGGTGTTGTGGCCCCTCTTCCTGCATCTGTATTACAAATGACCCTTCTGTTTCCTGTTCAGTCTCTCCTACAAGGCCCACTTGCCTGCCTGGAGGCTTGGAGAGTCCACTCTTTGACACTGCAAGGTCCCTCTGGCCTCAAGATTCTCAGCTGCTGGCTTTTACCCAGCATTCATGCCCATCTCTTCTCATTTTGCCTTTTTCATGGAGGAGGGAAGTATGACATTTATATCCAGAAACAGAGGCTGACACAACTCTCCCTCTAAGCCCTGGCCTCTTAGTCATCCATTACCAGATTAAGCCCCTTTACCCAAAGGTGCCCCTGGTTAGAGGCCTCAAGTACCAAATCACAGACCTGCCCAATTACAATTTTGCAAATGGCCCGGTGAAAACCACACTGACCTTTATACCTCGGTCATCCCAGAACAGGGCCACAGTGTTGTCACCAACGGGAATGGACTTCCTTCTGTTCCAACACCTCAGACAGCCATACAGTTGGCCTGGATTTGAGTCTGCAAAACCATGGGGGGAGCAAGACTAACATGGCTAAAGGCTTCCCTGCTGAAAGCCATTAAAAAAAAAAAATAACACTGCAACCACCCCCTTTCATGCTTCCCCAAGCCAAGCCACTCACCCTTCTCTCTCTGCTTCTACAGACCACAGCCTAGAACCCTCAAGTCCAGAGTCTGCCACTGGATTCTGGAAGGTGGGACCAAAAAATCAAGTGGGGCCTTTGGCTCTCTCCCTGCTGGCACCGCCCTCACACCCCGACCCTCAACCACCACCCAGGGAAGGAAAACCTGCCAGAGCAAGAATCTAAAATGTTCAATCCACCCCAAAGTGTGGCAGTCATCTCGCCAGAGCCAGTTCACAAACAGAGGGAAAGGCTGAGGAGAGGGTAGGGGGGCCGTGGACCTAATGACCCCTAGTGACCCCTGCCCTCTCTCCCCGGCCAAGACAAAGGCCAACAGAGGGGCCCCAGGCTTTTTAGGGATAGTACTGCATCATTTCAACCTCCATATGACAAGAAATGAGTAGTCCTGTCATTACCCTCCTCTGACCAAATAAGGGGAGGAGGGTAAAGAAAAATAAAAGGGCGCCCCATAGAAGAAAATCGTCACTTTTTCTGTTTGCTCAGGTTGGGCTCTTCCCCCTACCCCGGACTTGTCCCGGCCACGGCCACACCTCCTCCCCTTGGTGGGTTTTTTTGTTTTTTGTTTTTTGTTTTTTTGGTGGGGGGGGGGGGGCTGCCGTCGCTTCTGTGGCTGGGGGAGGGAGGGGGAAGATACTGTAGGACTAACGGGCTGACGTTGCTTTGGGGGCGGCTTTGGCCTCCAGCGGCCCAGGCCCCAGTTGGCGAGCCTAGGGCTTGCCCCAGTGCACCGGGGTCCAGGCCCTCCGAGAGTGGCCCTGACACACCCACTCGTCCGCGTCTGCCCAGCGCGAGCCAGAGAACTGCGTGCCGGGTCTCCTGGCTCCGGGGGCGCCACGAAGGGGACCCGAAGCTGGGGCGCCGTGAGAACAGGAGCGGGTAGGGGGGGAGGCCCGGAAAGGCAGAAAATCTGCCCAGCAGCGCCACACCCTTCCCTGAGCGAGCCGGGCGCCGTGAGTCGCGGGATTTACCTGCCACTGGTCCAGCCACCCTGTCCAGACCTTTCCTCTCTACCTCCGAGCGCTCGGGCTGGCGGGGCTGGGGGGGCCGCAGCCGCAGCCGCAGCCCCGGGCCCGGCCCGCTCTCCCCGGCTCTCCTCCCGGCCTCGCACACCTGCTCCGGGCCGGGAAAAGCCGCAGCCCCCCGCGCGAGCCCCCAGACGGTGCGCTGCCGACAGCTGCCCGCCCGCGGCAGAGCCCGGCTCGGCAACCGCTCCCTAGCTCCTGTCGGCTATGACGTCACCCGGGCTCTGCACCGCACGCGGGCCAATCAGAGGGTGAGCAGAAAACTAAAATCGCCCTGAGTGGGCTGCTGGGGACCAATCTTTTGTTTCCAGGCAGGAAGCGCCTGGGAGGGGGGAAAAAACTGAAGGGGAGGGAACAGAGAGAGGGAAAGGAAAAGGAGATGGAAACTTCTACACTGTCAGGGTTGTCTAGACAGAGGTGGGACCATCAAGAGAGAGGCGCACCTGGAGAGGCGGGGGCATTTCATGGATCTTCATTAACTGGCCTCCCTTGGGCAGACTGGAATTTCAGATAAATTTCCAGGGGAGGAAATCCGTCCAGCTACACTGGCACTCTTTACTGGGGGAAATGGTTTGGATTTGGGACACCACCTGTCAGGCCAACAGGTTATGCTGATGGAGTCTCTGGACTACGCAGTAGACTCTGGCAGATATGGCAGTGGCATTCAGAGATGACAAGCTAGAAAGGGAAACTCTCTGTCCGTGAAACACACATTTCAAAACACGGAGCATTATACAATCAATCAATCAATAAATTACCTCAATTAGTTTAGATACATAGATATATAGATATATTTAATTTCATTAAAATGTGGCTCTCCCTAAAACCTTCCGTGGCCTCGCATCTTTAAGAAAAAGTTCAAATTTTTCCCCGTGTGCAAAAATTAAAATGTAACTCCAAAAATCATCTCTTCCTACTTCGAAATCCATACCCCCCCCCAAGGATTTGGCTAGATTATATAAATTACGGTAAATCCCAGCAAGGAGACAGTAATCTGTCATAAAAAATGACAAAGAATGCAAAGTACTGAGTACCTTTGAATTATAGTGATGTAAAATACACCCACAGATATAATTAGAAGAGAACATTAAATTATCACGGTCAGGTAAAAGTTTATGGGTGATTTTTCCCTCTCCACTTTCAAACTTATTTTTATGAAGACAAATATATCCTGACATACTTTAATAATCAAAACGGGTTATGACCCTCCACAGTACACTTTTCTCCAATTTACTCAACACCCCATAACATCTGGCCATCATTTCTCCATAATGCTAGCAAAACAAGTTTTAAGACAGAGAGTGAACTAATACATATTTGCTAAGTTCCTTTTAGGAAAGGTCACACAACAGTCCTCTAGAGTCACAGAGACAACATCTGGAGAAGATGAGAGAATGGGATACCTCTTTGGAGTAATTCATTTAAAATTGTGATCATGCTGGAAGTTGAAAAAAGAACAACGAAGACCTTCTAACCTGGGATAAGGCAAGAAAGAGTCAAAGACTAAGTAAACTACATACTTCAGATTTTTTAAAGGATCACTTTGCATTTTTTAAAATTTTCCTTAATTAAAAGATATATTTATGCATACATGACTATTATATGAACACTGTAGGAAGTCCCAGAGCTGGAATTTGTACCTAGATCTGAGTCCAAGGCCCATGTTTTTTTCTAATATGATACATGGTATCATTGGCTCAGTTAAAATACATATTTGCTTGAGAAAAAAAAAAAGAAGTATACTGGATCGGTGTGTTTTTTTTTAAATCAGGCATTTTAAATAGTTTTTTGTGTGTGTGCTTGCTGGTTGTCTTCCTAATGCAAAAACACTCTTCACCCTCCTCCTCAAATCCCTGATGAATAGGTTGAGATCGCGAGGGTTCTGCTTTCAATGATTTTACAGATATCTTTTTAATTAACTTGGGGGTTAAAGAAAGTAGCTCATCACATTGATTTTTTTTGTTTTTGCATCATGGTAAAAGTAATCTAAAAATCACTGACCTAAATGAATGAACATATACTTAATGTTACATCTCTGATTTGTAAAATGCACTTATTTGGGTTATTTTAAAGAATAAGAATGTTCTTATTTTTTAAGAAATAAATAAAAGTGGATTTTTTTCTGGCTAATGATTTCACTTGTTCTTCTGGGTTATTGATTTAAATTGTAATTAAAAGGTATTTGATTTCACTCTAATCCTCCCCTATACCTCAGCTATAACTCAGAGCTCTTTATGCAGTCACTGCACATGGTTATTTAAGCATTTCATGTGTGTGTTTCTTCTCTCACTGGTGATTATAGAAAGTAGCATGGGGCCAAAATCCTATTAGGTGCCCAACAAATTAAAGCATAGGAGACTTCAGTGTTCCCATGAAAGGGCAACGACCTATATCCTTCTTTTTTTTTTAAGATTTATTTATTTATTCTGGGGAGGGAGATGTGCAAGCCCACAAGAGTTGGGGAAGGGGCAGAGGGAAAGAATCTTCAAGCAGACTCTCACTGAGCACAGAACTGGACTAGGGGGCTCTATCTCGGGACACATGAGATCATGACCTGACCTGAAACCCAGTCAGACGCTTAACAGACTGAGCCCCCCAGATGCCCCAATTCTTCTTGATACCATAAAGCAATCTTTACTACCAACGTGGTTTGTTCACCAAGAATACAGGAAGACTGCTTGGGAACTTTCAGGGAAGCTGAGAATGTCTTAAAGATTTCATCTGTGTAATTTTTCCCACTCAACTCCCACTTTCCCGTTTCCTTCTCTGAGCTCATTGATTTAAGGGTATAATAACCACACTACAGGAATAACCACTTGGCATATGTATCTTGCTTCTCGGGTTACATACCACTTTCGCACCTCCCCGTTTGATCCTCACAACAACCACAACGTGTATTGTGGCAATTATGAACTGCATTTCATAGATGAGCCAATGGACACCCAGAGGTTTAAAGTGGCTTGTCCAAAGTCTCAGAGAGATGGTCCTAGAAGTCAGGTCTCCTACCCTCAGTTGTGGTGTTCTTTCTTGTTTTGTGTTTGTCGTATTGCTCTTCCAGCTCTCACCAAACCTACCAGCCTCTAGATTCACAGGGCAAGTGACAGGCTCTGGGATGGGACTTAGAGCAACAGAAGTAAACTACAACTATCTTCAAAGCCTTCCAGTCAAATCCCAGAAAAAAAGAGCATTGCTTGCACTCATGTACCATGGATGGGAGTGAAAACTGGCAGAGCCTTTTTGGAGGGCAAGCTGGCAATACCTAGGAAATTTGAAGTGCGTGTTCCACTTGACCAAGCAATTTCAACTCAAGGAATTTGATTACGGAAACACTCCTAAAAACACACCAACACATATTCAAGTGTGTTTGTTGTTGACTCTTATATAGGAAAGAAACCCTCATTATATAAAAGCCAACCTAAATGTCCCTTGATTAGGGAACTGGTAAATAAAATACAGTATATGCATATTTTAGAATATTAGACACCAAGGGTGCCTGGGTGGCTCAGTCGGTTAAGTATCTACCTTTGGCTCAGGTTATGATCTCGGGGTCCTAGGATCCAGTCCCCTGTCTCCTTGCTCAGCAGGGAGGCTGCTTCTCCCCCTCCCTCTGTACTCTCTCCTTCTCTCTCTCTCAAATAAATAAATAAAATCCTTAAAAAAGAATATTAGAGACCAACTAAAAAGAATCAAGTGGATTCTTATGTACTGAAATAGAAACATGTCTTGACACATTCTTGAATGAAAAAAGTTGCAGAACAGCCTGTGTACTACTA